GATTTCTTAAAAATAACGAGGAACAAGGAAATAACAATTCAACAGCTGCAATGTGATGCAACTCTGCTTCTCTTTTGAAAAGAACAGTTAATGCTTTTTCTTTTCTTTTTAATTCTTCTTTTTTTAAGTTTCTTACAGCTTGTTTGTTGTTTTGTCATTTTAGAAAATTTTGCACATATATATCTTGGAAACATAAATAAATAATTTGAACATAACATCATGCAATGGGGCAACTGTTGTTAAATTCCTAAAAAAGAATAACAAGATTGATAGGTGTCAACAAAAGTAGGAGCCAATACAGTTGACATGAATAGATTATCTGTAAAAGTAGTAACAAAAAATTTCCAAGTATGGGAAAAGAATCTGACATACAGAGAAGTAAGGCATATAGAACTACAATTAACACAAAAAAATAAATCTACAACCAAACCTACAATAATTCAGGGCCTGCTGAGATTTCAAAAGAAACTGGCAACTGTGATGTCTGCCTGTAGACCCCACACTTGTGAAGCTGAAAACAAGGAGAATCCCTGTGACTCCCATCTGTGTAGGGAGACACTATAGACCCTGTACTAAAAATACAAAAAAATAAACTGATGAACACCTACCAAACCTTTTCACAAAAAGGAAAAGAAAAAACTCAAAATCATGTAATAAGGAATAAAAAGCTTGAAACCACTACAGATCCTATAAAAATTCAGAACATCATCAACACTTACTTCAGAAGCCTATACTCTCAGAAGAAGGAAAACACAGAAGAAATTGAAAGATTCCTGTATTCACATGAATTACCAAACTACATCAATAAAAATTCTGGATAAGTCAACATAAATGAAATTGAAAATGCAATTAAAATTTACCAAAACTGAAAAACACAGGTCCTGACGAATTCACATCTGAATTCTACAAGAAATTCAGATTAGATTTAATGCCAATACTTCTCAAACTCTTTAATAAAATTTAAAGGGAAACAATACTCCTAACTCATTCCTGGAGGCAAGTATTGACATGATAGCAAAACCAGACAAAGACTCAATCAAAAAAGAAAACTGTAGGCCAATCTCTACTTAACATAAATGCAAAAATCATCAATAAAATACTAGTAAACAAAATGCAGCAAATAATAAAGATCATTCATCATGATCAAGGGGATTCATCCCAGTAATGCAGACATGGTTCAATGTACACAAATCAGCAAATGTAATATACAATAAAAACAGAGCCAAAGGACAAAATTACATAGTTACATTCTCTTAATGAATAGAATGATTTGTTCTAATGGTGTTTGTAAATAGGATCTCAAGTCCGCATATTGTACAGCAATTAACCACTAAGAAGAATATATGCAGTGTATTAGTTATTGAAACTCTACTACCGATTTGATTTGAAACGGTCTCATTGCTATTTGTTTATCAATAAAATTTTGAAAAAAAAATTACATGATCATTTCAATAGAAGCCTAAGATTTTGATAAAATCCTAAACTCAT